CCTTCCCACTGCCTGGCCAAGATTGATCTCTGCTCAGCTTCCTACTTCTTCCCAGAAGCCCCTTGCTCAAAAACTCCCTTTTTCTGCCCCCTCAAACATACCCCATCACCACACCCCTGTTTCTTTTCACACCTCAGGGCAGGGGGGAAGTTCTCTTGCATTGGAAGCGACCCTCAATGGGCCTCTGTTGTTCTCTTAATGGCCCTAGCATGTCCAGACTGGTTTGCATAAGCCAGCCCAGGAATTCCCTTTCTGGCACAGCTCTGCAGTTTGTGTTTTAATCCATATCCCACTTAATCAAAATCCTAGCATTTATTCATTCCTAGGGTGGGGGAGGCCCTTTAGTTCTATAACAATCTTTTCATATTCATTACGGCACTAAGAGACAAGCCCATGAGATTTATTTAGGAACAGGCAGGCACCGAGAAGGCTGCTATCAAGAGTCTCAAGGCTTCATAACCTGTCCTAGCTCTGACAAGGACTCCACAAGGCAACACAGATTAAGGCAGGTTGGTGGTTGCAGCATCGCTGACAGCTGCAAGGGAACTGTTTGCTTCAGGGGAGACTGGAGGAGAGCTGAGACCTTATGTGCCTCCACCGGTCTTTGGTCCCTCCTCCTCAGACTCTGCCTCTCCTTCTTCAAAGCATGGAGACTCCAACAGGGCCAACTACCTGCCTCATGCATCTCACCTGTTGTGCTCCCTGCACTGTTGCGCAGGTGCAATAGCCTGGGAGGTTCGGAGTAAGGAACTTGTAAAGATCCTGCATCCAAGTTCAACTGCCTATCAGTCCAGTCCATCCCTTCATCTGAAGGCATGGCAAGCTCAGACTTGGCCAGCTCCTCCTCCTCCAGCTGAGCTTAAGGCTGGGGCCATGTCAGTTCAAAACCCTGGAAGGAGGACTCAAAGAATTCCTTCCTTTGTTGCTATAAGAACAACTTCCGTGGGCTGCCTTAGCATGTAATCCTGCCCCAACTATGCCCTGTTCTAGTTATTTTAAAGGAAGCGTACAAGTTTCTTTTATCTCTTCATTTGTAGCCCACTCTTACTCCAAGGATCTCAGCCTACCACATGTGGACCTTTCTGCAAGCTTTTCTCTTGGCAATCCCCTTTGGCAGCTTGAGATGGATGATTGTGACTTCTCCAAACGCATCTATTTCAGCCTGGATTTTTCATGTACAAACCAAAACCTCTTGACTATTCCATGAAGGAGCGCAGCAATTGAATTCCTCAGGTGTTTGCCACAGTAAGAGAGGGAAAGGTGAAGAGGAGTTCTCCATTCCTCAGCACACAGGCATTATATGTTGGGGAGCTGCAATTGTCACTTATCCCTTGCTTACACATTTTTGGACCTTTGCCCTTCACATCTTATGTGTTTACCATGGGCAATCCTGGGGAAACACTCTAAAAATTAGCTGTCACATCATGTGTGAAGCAACACACTCTGGCTCTCATGTAACACTTTCAGTCCAGACTAGAGGGTTTTGGGGGGAAGTGGCTAGAGATGGACTTGTGGTTTTTTCCTCACCTGCCCCCCCAATTTCGTTAGTTCCGTTCTGTGTGTTCACGTCAGCGCTCGGCTTGATCTGCCCTAGATGAGTCAACATGTCATCATCATTGCTTTGATAGAGGCCTGATCTCCAGCCCTATTCTCGTCACGACTCGGAAGCAAAAGCCTTTTATCTGAGCTGTGCGAAAGCACATTCCGCTCAGGAATCAGATCGAGGCTTTGAGGCAATCAAGCAAGAACAGTTCAGCCAAGGCTCTGGGGAAAGAAAATAAATGTTGCACTGAAGTATGATGAAATATAAATAACAAAAACAGTTCATGTTGCATAAACATCACACATGAGCATATGCCGACTGGCATGTGAAGAAGAAGAAAAGACACCCTCTGAAACGTAGAGTTAATATTTCCCCCAGGCAAAGCCACTTAGGATATTTAAGACCTTGCTTGTCCTTCACAAACCTGAAATAGCTGGAGAAGAGAACTTTGCTGGCAAAGCTGCCTTGTACCAGCACTTCCAAGACAGAAGTTGAGTAGTTTCCTGTTTAGCTGACATAATGCACACGTCCATTACCAGCTCCAAATCTGCAAATAATTCACCAGGGACTGAGAGCAATGTAATTTTCATAAGAGATATCAGCTAAAAATATCCTTGCTAACAATCCATCTAGGTCCTGCATAGTAGATATTTGCTTTTGCATGAGAAACATTTTTTTCCTGGGGGGGGGGGGAGGGAGGAAGCTGGCAATAGTGAGTATGAGCATTTCTTCCTGAAGGGTTACTAACTCCTATATGCGTCCATCGTGCCAAAACCTTGGGCAGATCAGTAGTTTTCCTGGCAAAGGTAGCAGCTGGGCAGCAAATGTAAACATGCCAAGATGGTTCATCTAGCTACTATCTTTATTTCAGGCAAGTGTTTTCATGTGAAACTACAAGATGCCTTGCTCTTCTTCTGTCCTAAAAAGCCATTTAGACTTGGAAGACACCACACCTTTCTTTTTTCTAGAGCTCAGTTATGTTGGCTTCCATAAATGTTCCACAATTGTCTTCTGGATTATGGTTCAGATATTCTCTGAATATCCACACACCTGCTGAATGTTGGCTCTGAATCTGATAGATTTCATTGATTTGGTATTTGACCATTGGTATTAGCTGGCACTTGATAGTTGGTGTGCAATGATATTAGTATCTGACAGCACTTGATGGTGTGCTATAGTGTTTGACAAATGGCAGCTGACAGCTTATGAAATTTCATACTTTATTCTTGTCAAAAATCAGAGCAACCAAGGAAAGCCAATAACTTGAAATGCAAAGGGTCACATTAAAATACAAAGTTGACTTTGAAATTCAAAACTGGAAATTTTAGCACACTTTGCATGTTAACAATTATTTGTTTCAGCTTAAACCTATTCCAACAACAGTTTTGGAAGAGACGGGCATCTGCTGATATGCAAAATGTGTTTGCACTATTTTTCATTGCTTTGAACCCTCTTAGTGTGAGTACACCACAAACAGGCTTCAACTTGCTCAATGACTGTCCAACTCCTTATTACCTTCTCCTCAGCTGAGATCAATTGTCTTCCTTGGGAATTGTGCTCCTCTTACAAAACATCCTTGTGAGCAGCTCTGTTTCAGAAAGCCAATAGCCAAAGCTTTATTGGGAATGGCTAAAAATAAGGCTATGGGCATGTAACTGCAGATTAATGTTATGCACAGCAGAAATCTCTCAGTAAGCCAAGAGTTCAAAGCTGCTTTCCTTCAGAAGCTTCCTTAGTGATGTTTTCTGGATTCTTCCCAAAATGGATTCAGTGGGTTCAATGGTCCCCCCCCCAAAAAAAAACCCTCAAGGGTCCATCTCTGACAACTGACACTGTAGCAGCCCTGCAATTTGCTGGCATGCTACATGGGGAGGGTTGTGAAGCAATGACATTTAATTTGGAGCCCAAAGCTCTGGCATTATCACGGAGTGGGGATTTCGTTGCAAAGAAGACTACAAACTATACGGAACACCAGCCTCAAAAGAGGCTCTTTGTTAAGTTGTCCCATCTGAATTACAAAATATAATTTAATACACAGACACGTCTGTCTTATGAAAAGGACTGGGGCAATTTAATGGAGTAGGACAGATTACGTGTCTTAAAGTGCAAAATTATATCATGTAATAAAGAAGACAACACAAGGCGTCTCTCACTGTTCTCTGCCCCCCCCCCCGGGTTCTCTTTTGGAATCAGTCTGGTTGTTGAAAAATGCAGAAATTTCCCTCTTGTTATGATGCAATTATGTGATTCTCCCACCCCAAACGAAAAAAACCTCTTAACTCTGCATGCATGTGTGTTGAAGAGCTCCATTTTCATGCTTAATTTGAAACTACAGAGACCATAAAAAGAATATGGCTCTTATTTGTATGACTCACTGGTTTGGAGAAAATGGAGCTTTATATCCCAGGCACAGTTTTCTGACCTAGGGCAGAGTCGTAAAGGCCAGGGAGGCAGCAGACGCACAAGCCAGGCTTGTTACTGTAACAGGGAAACAGTAGGGGCAGGGAGAAGGAGTCGGCATCAGGCGAAAGGAATTGGCGATGCGTTCCCTTTTCCTTCTCTTACTCATGGGCTCCAGAGATGATTTTGTAGCTAGGCTGAGGTTTCCTGTAGAAGAAGAAGAAGAGGAGGAGGAGGAGGACGAGGAGGAAGAGGAGGAGGAGTAGTTTGGATTTGATATCCTGCTTTATCACTACCCAAAGGAGTCTCAAAGCGGATAACAGTCTCCTTTCCCTTCCTCCCCCACAACAAACACTCTGTGAGGTGAGTGAGGCTGAGAGACTTCAGAGAAGTGTGACTAGCCCAAGGTCACCCAGCAGCTGCATGTGGAGGAGTGGAGACGCGAACCCGGTTCACCAGATTACAAGTCTACCGCTCTTAACCACTACACCACACTGGCTCTCCTGTAGAATCGTCTCCTTCAAATAATGTAGAGTTCTTTCCTTGCTGGTGGTTTTTGCCTTCAGGAGAACTGATTGTTAGGTGCTTCCCAGCAGCTGGCCTAGTGCTAATCTTCTATAGTGACTGACATGCCTATTCCTGCAGCAAGACTTGCGTTCTGCTCCAAGAATAGGAAGCCTAATCAACACGAGTAGGAAACACTTTAAAATATGTATTGATTTCCGGAGCTGTGTGCTAAACTACTGTACAAGGAAAGACGAGTACATGGTCTCCAGAGGGAGAATCAAAACAAAATACTACTACAAAAAAGATTGGGTTGCAAATGGGAAATTTAAAATGGTACAGAAGTGGGAACTTGGGAAGTGGGAACTTGCCTACTAGCCATGATGCCTATGTTCTGCCTCCAGAGTCAGGCAGTAATGCTTCTGAATACCAGTTGCTGGAAAATACAGAGAGATGTCCTCTCATGCTCAGGTCCTGCAGTAGAAATCTGGGTGGCCACTGTGAGAACAGAATGCTGAACTGAATGAGCCATTGGCCTGATGCAGCAGGCTCTTCCTATGTAGCTCAGTGGTAGAGAATCTGCTTTGCATGCAGAAGGTTCCAGGTTCAATTCCTGGCAATCTCTGGGCACACCTGGAAATGTCCCATCTGAAATCCTGCTGCCAGCCATGCTAAGCTAGATGGCCTCGGTATAAAGCTGTTTCCTATGTTCCTATCAAATATCACTTCCTCCCAAATAGATGCCTGTACTGGGTGGATGATTTCCTTTTGCGAAACAGTGGTATAGTGGGGCTTCAGCTATTTTCACAGCAGGGATGATGATGATGATGTCATCTTCTGGGTGTTTGATGTTTTGATGCCAAGCAAGTTTTTCTCTGAGAGAACCCTTACCAAATAAGCTAAGCAGGGGAAGAGGTAAGTTACATTAGTATGCATGGCCAACTACCAGAGCTATTCCATCATGCTGAATGTTAGGCAAAGCAGGAGGAAAGAGGGAGAAAAAATGCTGACTTTGTATGGAAGCCATAATCATTGCATTGGTGAAGAGTTTATTTTTGTTGTATAGTCTTAGTAGAGGCATGGCTATCAGAATCACTGTTTTCAAGTGTCAGGTTTCACCAATGAAAAACAGCCCTAGTTCATCCCTGGTGCCTGAAGCTTACTTGTTGTAACAGCCAAACCTGGAAGAGCTGCTCTGTATGTTGTGATGGTGTGAGACTCTTCCTGCCGTGTCTTCCTTTATGCACACTGGCTTGGAAAAGCGGGGGAGGTGGGGAGGGAATCTAGGGAAGCTGGATTTTCATTTCACCAGGATATCTTTTGTTCTCAAAAAGGGAGTATGTGAATTATGGAATCTCTGAATTTAGCCCTATATTGACGTCTTGAGAAGAGTGTTGTTAAGTAAGATCTAACAAGCTGGAAGGTCAAACTGCTGACAATCTACACAAAGAGTAGAATCTCAACTCGAGAGAGAAATATGAGGAGACGAGGACAAAAGCAGCTTTCTATAAGTTTTCTAAAAGGAGCACACTATTAAAAACCAGAGAAAGTACCAGGAGATTTCAAATGTCAAGTTTATTTAAAACAACACTGCAGAATGCATGCCTAGGAAAGTCAGCTCCATGTTGAGTTCTTTGCCTTCAAGATGCTATGGGCACCGACTCTGTGATATGCTTGTTTGTTAATGTCCAAGTCATCAATGAGATTCAGTGAATGAAGAATGAGCGGCTTTAAGAAATCAAACTGGGTGGACACAACTAAAAGGAGTGAGTGATAAGCAGATTCATCTTTAAGTCAACAATCTTAAGGAAATCCAGAAATATTTCCTCATGATCTGCTTCAACTGGATAGCAACCTCTCTTCGTGGGTTCTGCATTGGATCCATGGGTTAGGTCTTCCTGGACATTCACCTTGCCTCGGATATCCCATATCTTGCTAAACTCTTCAGCTTTCTTCTGTTTCTCAAGACTGGCTCAAAGCTTACAACTTCCAATTAAAACTCTCCACACCAGCACAAACAGTAGCATTGATGTGAAGACTCTCTTTGCGTTTTGGCCAAAATGTATTGGAAATGGCTTTTCCCCAGCTCCCCCATGGAGTATCACCGCACAGAAGCCATTTTCCCCACCCAAGTCAGCTTTGAGCTCTGAACCCTGCAAGGTCCTGCTTCAAGAGAACCAGGTGACAATCTTGGACTTCTGTTTTTATAGGTCAGTCCAGTTTTTCTATGTCTGGCCCAGCTGCCAATTTTGGCAGTCTAAAAGTGGGGAGTCTGAGGGGAAGGGAGGCAACCCTTTCCTGCCTTTTCCTATCCTGTCAGTATTGTGGTTGAGGCAACTATCAACACATTGCTGATCAGTTAGATGGAGTGAGAAGAGCTGGAGCTCTGAATTGTGACATTCCTTCCCTGTCCCTAACTGATAATCAAAGATACTGATGGTCCTTGGGTTGGGTCTAGCACAGTGCTGATCAGCTTTTTGGGTTGAAGCATATAGGTATGCTAGTTCAGTTTGATACCCCAGAATGGAGGGGGCCCCAAACCTCTTGGGTCAACTGACATTCAGATTTTTTAAAAGAAAGAGGATGAAGACACACAGAGATTTTTTAAAAGACATAAAACACAGACTGAGAGAAAGAGAAAGAAGATGCATTCAGCCATTAAGAGGTCTATCTTTCTCACCGTAGGGATATCAATGGAAGAGGGTTTCCCTTCACTTGCATAGTTAAAACCAAAACAAACCCTGATAATGAAGGCTGGAGTGTAGGAAGAAGGGCTGAATCAAAGGATATGCCAATACCATGTTTGTCTCTTGACCTTTTTTGATTAGTCCCCAGACAGGGTGCATCTCTCTCTCTCTCTCTCTCTCTCTCTCTCTCTCTCTCTCTCTCTGTGTGTGTATTCTTGCAGTCATTGAAGGTGCTTCTGCAGAAACATCTTTGCCTGTGTTTTATATAAATGACCTAGAGTTAAGGCTAAGCAGTGAGGTGACCAGATCTGCTAATGACACCAAATTATTCAGGGTGGTAAAATCAAAGAAAAGGGGATTGTGATGAACTCCAAAAGGGGTGAATTGGCATTAAAATAGTAAATGTGATCCAGGGCTTATCCACACATACCTATCCCCCACTCTTTCCAACACAACCCACAATTTAAAGCTCCATGTCTGAGCACATTTTCTTTTTTCCTCTGGACCTTTCCGTGGTAAAGGTAAAGTGATGCATATTGAGACAAAATAATTGCTAACTTCATAAATATACTAATTTGGCATCACCTGGCAGTAATTGGCCAAGAAAGAGATCATGGGAGTCATGGTGGATATCTCAAGGAAAATGAAAGTGATCATGTGGAATTTTGTAGTTTGGTTTAATTTTCCATGCTTCTAAACATCTACATTAAAAATACTCAGCAAGATTGTTCAGTAACTTGGAACACGATTTCAACGGTGTGCTGATGGCATCCAGCTTCTTCTCCTTCTCCTTCCTTTCACTCTAGCAGGTGTGGCAGGCTGAATGACTCCCCTGAAGACAGTAATGGATTGAATGAGAGTGAATAAACTGAATCTCTGTTCATACAATGCAGAGATGTTGATGGTGGTGGTAGTGGTATTTCATAGGAAATACCTCTTTGCCTGCTACTGTCACAGCTTGAGTGATAATGGGATGTGTTCTGAAACCTATTATGCCTCAGTGACAATCTTACTATTAGTAGCAAGAGTATGGGTATATTATGCTATTTGGCTCAATGTGCATCCACTTTATTTTGCCCTGAATATCATTTGCAATTCATTGTCCATTCACCCATTTTGGAAATATCTTTTTGGAGCTGTTTTGCAGGTCACTATGGCTCTCACCATCCTGAATCACAGCATCACAAACTCGGCCAATTCACTGCACACGCTGAAGTCCAGATTATTTTTAGATTAATTGAGTATCGTCAGTCCAGATGCAGATCTTTGAAGAATCACACTGCTTGGTTCCTTCACGGCAGAAACTGTCTGCTTATGACTACCCTCTGCTGCCTATTGTTTAATGCTAAAGTAATCCAAAACATTTGGAGACTAAGGGCTGCTTTGTGAATTAAATGGAGGGGGGGATGGAGATGATCCTATGAATCATTTCTATTTCACTGCGCATGCAAACTGCAGACCTGAGATAGAGTCGATGCTTTGTGTCAGATAGTATTTAATCCCTGAAACATTTTGTCAGCATAGTTCCATATTAATAGGTAATCAGGAATGCAAAAATGCTGAGCCATCTAATATGAAGAAAATAAGCCAATCTATAGTTGATCTTTTGTCTGAGGACTGCAAACTTTGGTGTTGAAATTGAGTGTCTCAGTCCATTAGTTGCTCACTTCAACTTGACTTGGCTGTAGTTGGACTGAAAATTGCACTAATGAGATGGATGTGAAATGGCCTTCTGTAGAATGAGCATTTTGATGATTTTGGCTAATTTACTATAGCACAACGGCCACATTAGGAAAATTTATCTCTTTTGGCTTGGAAGAGACTGTAGGCTATATACTAATAAAAATGGAGGAAAGGCTGTTATTTTGAGCTGGGAGTCATCAGCATGGCAAATTGATAAAGCATGTCCTGGGAATCCCAGGCCAGCAACTGGATTCATTGCATACATTGATTCTGCCTGGTTATTTCCATTCATCTCTGCATATTCAAAATATGTATGTTCCCAGTGTTTTAACAGCCTATTGCTCATTGCAGTACAACCTGCAGATTAGATTTTTGGTGCTCTGTACCTTGGAAAATGTTTACATGCATTTCAATACCTCTCAGTCATTTGCAGCCTCCAATAATCTTGCTTCTCAGTGTGTCACAGGAATTATTCCTGCATAGCAGATGCTTCTGTACTAAAAGACAGTGGTTTTTAGATAGAAGCACAATGATCTAAATGTTGGTTGCTAACAGCGGTCTCACTATAGTAAATTCTCCAACCATTGGTGAGTGTTAGCACCTAGCAAGAGCATGAGGAGCTGATGCCTTTGCTACACCCTGTCATCCACCCCATTCCCAAATTCCTTGTGAGTGTTTCCAATGTTCTCCAAATCTCTATAGGTTTACATAGCTAAACAGTACAGTGGTACCTCGGGTTAAGTACTTAATTCGTTCCAGAGGTCCGTTCTTAACCTGAAACTGTTCTTAACCTGAAGCACCACTTTAGCTAATGGGGCCTCCCACTGCTGCTGCGCCGCCGGAGCACAATTTCTGTTCTCATCCTGAAGCAAAGTTCTTAACCCAAGGTACTATTTCTGGGTTAGCGGAGTCTGTAACCTGAAGCGTCTGTAACCTGAAGTGTATGTAACCCGAGGTACCACTGTATATTGATGGGCTAGTCTGCGAACTAGAACCATGGAAACTCTTGTCTTGACTCACAAGATGTAATAAAGGGTGGGCAATGTTACTCTATTGTACCAAGCAATGAGACAACCCTGTGAGCCAAGAGTCAACAATGTTTGCCTTTGTTATCACAAAAGCTTCAAATGGCCTTTACAGCAACCACCACTGTTGAAAGGATCCAAAACCACAGTTATAATAATAATAATAATAATAATAATAATAATAATAATAATAATAAATTTTATTTATATCCCGCCCTCCCCAGCCAAAGCCAGG